GAAGCGACTACTGTCTTGTTTGGCTCAAGACACGTGGACCAGCAGTGAGCTGTGCGTGCTAAAAGTGTGAACTGTCCGAGTGTTTTGTGGGCTTGCCTTGCTTGCAGCAGTGCTTGGACGTGTTTGCTTGCAGACCTGAAAGACCTAAGGCTTTCTAGGTTTTTAACGAGAACGGACTCCTTCAGCAATCCTTGCCAGACTTGTTGCAGTGTGTCTTCAAGTACACGGTCTGGCTCGGACACGGACGGGGGCAAGGCCGGTATAAACAAGTGCGACGAAACTGTATTCTAGGCAAGCTCTCGGAAAGGCGTTTGGGGCTGTAGCATCAATGGCACCAACCAACACAGCACGGAAGGGGCTCCGACCTTGTGATTTCGTTTTTGGTGGCATTGAGCCATGATGTCGTCGGAGTAGAACGTAGTCTCCAAATTGGCCTACCAAGTCGCAGTGCACTTCTTCAGAGACCAATAGTTGGCCCATTGAAAGGCAGCCAATGGCAGGAGAGCAGCGCAGTGACCACTTGCGGCCAACTGACAGCGGAAAACAACAAGAAAGCCTGGAACCTGTATGGCCTTGGAACCAGCTCGAAGGACACTACAGTTCCAACCATGAGGTTTGATCTCTTTGGGTTTGAAAAAACATGGTGCAGACGCAAAGCCTGATTTGGGCATTGGCCCGATGCTATCATATGTTTCCTTGTAAGAAACCCTGCACCCTGGATTTCTCAAGCTGGCTCCTAGAAAACCCTAAGAGTCGGTCGAGCATGCCTTCAGCGTCAGCATTGTGGCATGCAGCACAAGCGTATTTAGTTTAGTTTTTGAAGTTTTCAGCATGGGCTTCAAGTGTAGAATTGAGGTTATTGGAAGCTTGGAGCCTACAGTCTAGAACAGCAGTTTGCCAACTTCGAACGAGAAAGAGAAGGCGGCTGCGAATGACAGGAGCAAGGGGAAGAACCATGGTCGGGCTGTTTCGGAGCTGAAGCTCGATGACGTTTTTTGGGCAAGTTCGAGAAAGTCGAACAGCTCTTTGGACTCGAAAGCGGACTTTGGTTTTAGTTTGTGGATAAATTCGTGTTGGGGTATTAACCTGCAGCACGCTGAGACTCAGCATTACCGTCAACTCCGGGCAGCTCAATGTCTGTAATGCTTTGTCCATGTGTTGAAGCTGCTTCGGTGCTTACTTTACGATCTTTCATCTTGTTCTACATCGCTGAAACTCCAAGCCGGAGCAGAGAGATGTTTCAAGGTTCGCATGTCTCCTTCTCTTTCTTTGTGCAAGCAAGGAAAGTTTCGCTGCAGAAGGTAAAGTGTCGCGACTTTGGGGGTTGTGAGGGTGCCAAGCTGCAGAGACCTCCCCTCGCTCCTGTCGCAGTGCTTGGTGTCCAGGCAGCTGTTTCATCCTACGGCACTACAAGAAGCGCGAAGGACCCCCGCGACAGCGGATTCACCAACCTGGACACCATGTGCGTGCGCATGAGAAGTCGCCAGCCACCCATCGAGGAACATGGGGATGCCGAAGGCGAAGATGGCAAGACAGGCTGTTTGTGTTGAAGCCAGAAGTGGCAAAAGGCGCTTGTCAGGTTCACAAGAAGAGCGAAGATATGAGCACATGTTTCTAAGTCTGGATCGCTCCATTGCCAATTTTGTCTAATTATTCGTCGCATCATACCAGTGAAGCTTGGTACGAAGGGCATTCCAGAACCTGCCATCCGGAATCCATGAAACAGCCGCCATCCTTCACAGCTTCGTCCTTCGGCTGGTAACCTGAGCCTTAGCTTGTCTATGGCCCTGTCCCGAAATCTTCGTGTTGTGATTTCCCGATGTTCAGCCTTCTTCCTTCCCCGCTCCAGTGTGCGGTTTGTCGTCTTTGAGCGCTGGGGAGGTTGGGTTTGGGAGCTTTGGGTAGGCATGTCGCGCAGTGTTGGCCCTGCTGCCTTGCTTCGTAATTACTAGAAGGGCATGCCATGGCAACCAGACTCCGTAGCAGAGTCTAGTGCACACTGAGCAGTGTGGGAATCTGCATCAACATGAATCTCTACGTCATCGGGTGGGCCGAACAGGCAGAAGCCGAAACGTAGAAGATGCGTGTGAGTTGGGTTCATTCTTGCACGAAGGGTGTCGGCTGGTAAGAGAAGTACCATGCATGCATGAAATTCGACGAAATGGCCATGAATCTGTGGCCACAGTCGACCGTTAGCCCTTGCCCTGTGTGTGGACTAGTTCAATTGATTTCCCGAGGAGTTCGCCGGTAAACACTGCCGGATCAAGAAGTCCAAGTGCCAAGTGCAAAAGACGTGCTGTCGATAAGCCGGCGGCTCTGCGGCTCTTGTTCTGTTTAAAGAGATAGCTACACGTCTAGCGATGGCATTGCACTAGCTGGGCGTAGTCATGGTATCACAGTGGTGGTGATAGTAGTAGCAATAGAAAACGCGATCAGAACGAAGTAGTATTGAGAAATGTAGAGAATGATGGTGATAGAGGAAGTATTAATGGCAAAGGTCAATGCTAAACAGTCGTGGCAGTAGTGATGAGAACAGTACCGTTATTGTGACAATCATAGCACCATCGACACTGCTACTAGCACGACACACTCGCTGCCGCTTCTGTTACTGTTGCTGCCATTGACAGGAGCTGGTAGTAGGAAATTGCTATATTATGCTGGCCAAATGCTTGCTACATCTGGCTGGGATGTCAGATCGTTTTGTGGCCTGGACAGCGTGCAATCTATGCAAGTTCCGAACGGTGGCCTGTTGCAAGCTGAGTGCCGTGAATTCTGCTTGCTAGTGTCTACGTGCATCTTGAGCACCTAGCGGAAGGCATTTCTCAAACGGGTCGCCAGCGCAGAGAAGAACTTTGGTATGCAAGGACTAGGGCACACGAGTGTGTACAGCTGTGGTGGCCACGGCGATGGCAAGGGAGCACACAGACAGTTAAGTAAAACTACTCCGGCAGACAGATCTGCACGGCCATGCGGCAACTGCCAGCATGGCGATGCAATTCTTCAAGTGACGCTGGCTCCATTTTCCGGGTGCAGGCCTCCTGGGTGCCCTTTAGCAAGGGCTCCAGGACCTAGAGGCCCAGGGGATTTCGAACAAACTGGACCCTAAACCCTAAACCCTAAACGCTAAGGGTCTAGGGTTTTTGGTTGTTTGATTACTTGGACTTTTCCAGGGCTCCAGACCTGAGCCAGGAGGTGTCAGAGTTGAGGAGGGTTTGGGGTCGACGGCACATCCTTTGGCGTTTCCTTCGTGTGTTTTGATGGGTTCAGTGGTGGTTGATGTCTTCAATGCAGATCTCGGTCTCGGGCCGTGGGGGTTTTATGAGTTTTGTCGTTGTTTTAATCGGGTTTTGGGCTTAGGGGTTTAAAGATTGGTCTAGAGTCTAGACATTGGTGGGCTTGTGCTTCTACTTCTGTTTGGCTGTGTACCATATGGACTCAAGTCTTGTTGACTCACGGACAGGTCCCTCGTTCCGATACGCCCTAAACCCTCAACCCCAAGCCCTAAACCCTTAACCCTGAACCCCAAACTCTGGGGCCCGGCAAGTTTGAGACTGGCCCAAGCAAGCAGAGTCGTGAAAGCCGCTCCATGGCTTCCGCACCGATGGTCAGCCTTCACGTGACTTTGCTGGACAAGGGCCAGAGCTCGGCCGTGGGCGGATGCGCATCCCTGGACACGTGTGTTTGGACTCTTGGGGAGCAAGTTGGGATGCTACCTGGGCTGATCTGGATGAGTTTTCATGTTGCTGTCTGTGCAGAGCCTAAGCTCTTCTCATGGCCTATGGATACCCTCGGTATTCCCAACTTTACGGGCTCTCCTGGACCCCTTTGATACAGGACTTCAGGTATGGTCCTTTGAAAACCTGTTCAGGGTTTTACGCTTCACACACTGAAATCTGAAATTCCCTACACTTTTTTCGCACGTTTTGCAAAGCCCCTACCCTAAAGCCTAAACCCAAGCCCTTAACGGGGGGCTCCCCATGTTGGATCCTTCTGGGGTATCTGTGCGATACGAGCCAGGCAGAAGTTGACTTCTCCGGCCCAGCCTCTCGGTAAACTTGAAAAGACAAATTCCTTTGAGGGTTTGGGGGTTTAGGGGTTCAGGGGTTGAGGAGTTTAGGGGGAGGTTTAGGGGTTGGGGGTCAGGGATTTAGGGTAAGGTCGATGCTAAGCCCTATAACTACAAAAAGGTCGTTTAGTTCGGACTAGGTCCAATTTCGGCTACATCTTCCAAAGTGCCAGCGGCATGTGGAAGAGCAACCAGTATCCCAACCTCACCCTGGCGGAGGCTGGCGTAAGAAACACCGGCCGCCCGGCAGAAAGAGAATGTACCAGTAGGGTTTAGGGTTTGGGGTTCAGGATTTAGGGTTTAGAGCCCTTAAAGGTGCCCTTGAACATGACAGGGTTTGGCGTCTCAGGTGCTGGACAAACAGACTCGAAGGGCAGGATGGGAAAGATGTACCCCGAAACTTGTTTCTACAGTCTCAAGCGTGAAAGTGTGTTCGTGCAGGTTGGAGACAGACTGTCCTCAGAGCTGTCACTCGTAGGCATGATCGATCTCCGTGCTAAAGTCATGCCACAGTCTGTTTCTGAAATTGCCAGTATGATGATTGCGAATGCTATTACCCTCTATGATAAGTAATTTCTGATTCGTATTCTGGTTCGCCTTCTGGTTATCATTAGTATTGTGATTGCTGTAGTTCATGGTATTATGGTCGTGTTTGCTTTCGCTATGAATTATGCTTTCGCTATGAATTATGTTTAGTAGTTGCTTTATGAATTTCGTGGCTGCAGGCGATAGGGTCCAGTTCACAGGAGACTTCGACTTCGCCCCTGCAACGAAGCCGTCGGCCCCTGCCACGCCCTCCACGGCTCCATCATCACCCCCGACGATTCCGGCTCAACCCCCTCTGTTCCCGACCTTCCCAACTTACTCAAGCTCAATGGTGGAGTTGAAGGTAACCATTGATGCTGTGAGCAAGAGCTTAACCAAGATTTGCAGAGCCAGCCTGGACAAGTGTGTTTGGGACTTCGGCCAAGACGTGGGCACGGCAATGCTCTCCAGTCCAGCTTCTCATGGATGTGTTTTCAGCTATGCTGGGCATCACTGGAGAAGCAACCAACATCCCAACCTCACGTTGGCGGAAGCGGGAGTGCGCAAGAGTCTTCGACACAGTTGGGTAACTTTTTGGATTATTTCTGGGTGCTTTTAAATCCAAGAAGGAATAGAAGTTTATGTTTATACGATCCCGACCATGGACTAGAAACCCTAAGCCTTAATTCTGAGCCCAAAACCCGAGCCCTAAACCCCAAACCCTAAACCCTAAACCTCAAACCCGAACCCCTAAACCCTAAACCCAAGCCTAAACCCCTAGACCCCTAAACCCCAAAAGCCATGGACGAGGAGCGGCGAAGCCATCGCCTTTTCGGCAGATGTTCGTCCGCTTGGTGCAGCAGAGTCGAGCCCGGCTGTCGAGCTCACCGCCACTGGGATCGATTAGCCCACGGCTTAGGATTTGGGAGTTAGGGTTTAGGGGTTTAGTGGCTTTGGGTTAGGGTTTAGGGGTTTAAGGGTTTAGGGGTTTGGGGTTTAGCGATTGCATACGTCATCCCTACATGAAGAAGTGCTTTCCTTTCTTCCGGCCTTTGTGAACATCTATGGGGCTCCTTGGGAAGATTGTATCCCTGAGCCCGGCACCCTAGACCGTATAGTTAGTTAGTAGCCGGCAAGACCTACAGTTTAGGGTTCCTTATTATGGTTTCTATATATAGTTCCTGAAAAAGGTAGGTCTTTTCCGTTACAGGTATAGTTAGTGTGTTTTTTGAGGTATGTTGAGTCTGGGTTAGGTCAGCCTTCTCGACAAGAGCGGGGCCCGATCGATGACAGGACAGGCGCCGCTTGACAAGTGTGTCTGGACCTTTGGCGCAGAGCTGGGCATGCGGAAGTTGACTACGGGACCTCTTTCCAACTATGGCTATGTGTTCCTGAGCTCTTGTTTAAGAGCTGAGTTTGAGTTATTGATCTAGGGGTCTATACTAAATCATAGAGTTTGCTTTGTATGGTATTTTAACATCCTAAACCCTAAACCCTAAACCCTAAACCCTTAACATTACGTACCTAGCCAGAATTCAGGTTCAGATGCGGCAGCAGTGAGTGGAGAAGTAATCGAAATCCGAACTTAACTCTGGCCGATGCTGGGGTGGCCAACGGTGATGCCGTGGACTTCCTCGGGGACTTTGAGCCACCGTCTTCAGCAGGTGGGGGCTTGGGTTTTGGGGGTTTAGGGTTTAGGGTTAAGGGCTTCTAAAGTTTGGGGCCAAGTTTAGGGTTTAGGGTTTTAGGGCTTTAGTAGGATTTAGAGTTTATGGGTTTTTGGGTTTAGGGCCTGGGGCCCAGAGTTTGGTGTTGAGTGTTCAAGGTTTGGGGGGATCAGGGGCATTCAAAACAGCTGTGGGCCTGAGCGACCCAGTCGTGGAGAAGTAGGCACATGTCAGTTTATATCTTTGCAATGTGGTTCAAAGATGCACCCGGATGATGGGAAAGTGGCAGAAACTGCACACCAGAATGGTATAACAATATGATGCTTGCAGCAAACTTGCAGGAAGATATCATCCAGCGCTGTACGTTTGTGCGTTGCTGGTCTCGCCATACCATGTTTCCACATTGAAAATATGCAAGAACGCACGAAAAGACTTCAACAACCGTAAACCCTAAACCCTAAACCTAAACCCTAAACCCGAAACCCTATAGACCCTAAACCCTAGACCCTCAAGGTTAGGCCTGGAGCGAAAGAGCTAGGGAATGGGACGGCAATGTGGACACATGGTGTAGGGAGATCCGGAAACCCACCCAAAGGTTTAGGGCTTAGGGTGTCGGAAACCACGACGTGAAATGTGGAACATGGCAGGAGAGACGGCAAATAACAGAACAAATGAAACAGTCGGGGAAACTGTGGAACCATGGTGCAGGGGGATTACAGCACAGGATGACAGTGAACGCCATATGGGAATGAAGTGAACAACATGTCAGCATGCCCTCTCGCCGAGAGTTGGTTTCTCCAGATTGGAAAGTGCGAAAACAACGAACATCCTAGGAGCAGCGTCTCGCCGGGAGTTGGTTTCTCCAGCTTGGAAAGTGAGCGAAAACAACAAACATCCCAGGAACAACATCTCGCCGGGAGCTGGTTTCTCCGCTTTGTTAAGCGCAAAAACAACAAACAGCTTATTAACAGCATCGCAAAAAGCGAGCAAAACACAAGTGGGCACAATTGTGAGAACGTCCGCTGCATTCTTGATGCCAGTGCATGCCAGCACATCATGTTGTTGTGCTACATTATTTTCAGGATTTGGCACAGTCCCAACATCTAGATACAGTTTTTGGATCGCTGTTCATTGCAAGATTACGTATTCCGAAAACCCGAAACCCTAAACCCTACGTATCCCCGCACCTGAGTGCTCCAAGAGATTGGGCCGCACACAAAAAAGGTGCCAGCCCATGGGTTCGAAATACAGCAGTTTAGGGTTTAGGGTAGTTTGGGG